AGGCAGGCACAGCACTTCATTGGATCTGCCTGCCAGGCTTTTCCTGGGTGATGGTGGCTGGCTGATTTCATCGGGAAGATAAAGAATGTGTAGGGAGTTACAGAGAGGCTGGGAGCTGGGACAGAAGGGATGCTGGGACCATAATGTGCAGGGAAAGCCTCAGCTGAAGTTAATGGAAGAGTACCATCTGATGTGTGCTTGAGGGCGGGAGGAGCAATGCTGGTGGTCTGTCATTGTTGAAGATGCCCCTGCATGTCACAGGAGAATTGGACTAGAGGACCTTTAAACTTTTAAAGTCCCTTCCAAACTTTAGTATGATTGTAATGTACTCCTCTGTGGTCTTCGTCTGTTTGTCCAGTCTTCTCTCTCTCATGTGTTCTCAGCTGACAACTCTTTGTCGTTGTGTTATGTGTAATATAGATAATTTGCGCCTGTAGGTTGATATGTATGTAATATTTCATATTATTAAAAAGGCATATGAGTCAGTACTATGAGTTTTGCCTCACATATGTTAAAAATGTCCTTAATAAGGCCTCATTTATAAGTTAATACACATAGCCCTTCAGGAGATGGGTCGTTTCTGAAGGTGATCCAGGAACTCTCGAGCGATGATCATCCTGACAACAACCCAAGACTGGAATCACTGGAACCATCCAAAAGGATACATCTCAATGCTGAGTTCCTGTAACTCCATCAAGGATGTACATAACTTCCTGGACACTGGGTTGTTCAACTCAGCACAGAGAAAGGAGACTTTATGAATGTGTGGGACTTTGAATGAAAGGAAAAGGTTGATCGCCAAAATTCCGGCCTCAAGCAAAATAAACCAAATCACTTGTGCAGGACGCTCGGTGTGAAATATAGGGGATCCTCTGCTGTAGCGGTCAGACCTGTGTCTCAGGCTGATCCCGGGCTTGGCACTGTCCTTTTCTTTGTGGCTGGCTCAGATAGATTTGGATTGCTAAATAAAATCAATTTTTATTTTTTTAATTTGGCTGGATTAATTTTGATCAATAACAGTTGCAAGCATGAAACAATAATACACTTTTCTCATAAAGAGTTCAAAAAGGTTTTCAGTTAAAATTCATATTTTTTACCTTCTTTAAAAAATACCAAAATATCCCAACCAACATTTTGGAAAATTTATTTCAAAATCAGAACTTTTGTAAGACTAGTATCAACTTTTTCAGCTCTATTTTTAATGAATTATTAGATTAATTAAACTTCAGAGTTGTGTGTGAAGTTTTATAGGCCTCACTACGTTTATGTTATAGTTGGCAAGTGTGGCGTTGTTATGAATACAAATGCTATGTAGCTTTTAGTCCTACTTCACTGGCTTTTTTATCTTAACCTAAAATAAGATAACAGTTTGGGTTTTTTTGGTTTTGTTTTTAGTTTTGGTTGGTTTTTTTTGTGTTTTTTTTTTCCTTACTATCTATTGAATCATTACAATAGCTCTGTATAACTGAAGAAAACATTGGTGATTTGTTGTGTGGTTGTTGTTTTGTTGTTCCTCCCTTGTTGTTGCTGTAACTTCAAGAAGTTCTATTTCAGTCCTAGGATACCCACTCTGTTCAAAGCTATACAAAAATCAAAAGGATGTTATCAAAACCAAGAGCTTACAGAGAGCATATATTAGATCAGAAATAGAATTTGATGCTGGGAGATGATGTGTACATAGCAGACAACACAGACACTAGTCTGTCTTAATCAGTAAAGATTGATTTCTTTCCTTTTGCTGTGTTATGTATAGAAATAATACTCAAAACTAAAATGACTTGTAAATCACTAAATCACTCTTCATATCTTTTTACTATGAGGCAGCTTAATAGATGTTTGTATTACTTTCAGATACGTGAGACAAAATAGTATGAAAGTATATTATCATTTCAGAACTTGAAGATGAAGACAGGTGCTATAGTCCTTGGGAAGTAGAAATTCCCCATTGTATCCTGAGAGGGGACCACTTAGAAGGATATGCAACCAAAGCCAAGCAATTTGTGTTTAACACAATAAGGAATATGAGAAAAGTGAATGTGGTCTGAGCAACAGTTTGGAAAGGGTTATTTTTGTAGTAGCTCTCTGAAGAGATGAAAACAGGAAAGGTGGCACAGCCATATAAAATGTTTTCAGATGTTACAAGATGACAGGCCAAAGGAGAATGTCATTTGTGTAGATGAGGAGGAAACTTAGCTGTGTTCCAAAAATAATAGAAAGCTTCATTTTAGCTTCCTGTGATTTAGAGGGATAAATTGTAGATCCTCCTCTGGTATTGCACCAGTGTTTCAGGTAATAGAGTGGTATTGTTTGTGATTAAGGAAAAGATGCAAAGGGAGAATTTGTAGAAGGGGTATTCTTAACTCATCTTGTGCTAACAGCTAGATATCTGTGAGGAGCCATCAAGTGTGTATGTTCAGGCTTTGGCAAAGAAGATACAAGCATAGCCAATGCTAATGTTCTCTCATAAACTTCATATATATGTATATATATTCTTACATCAAAATGAGAAGAGTTCCTTTTTTCTGCAAACCTCCTCCATCACAGGCATCTCACAGGGTCATATCCTCCTTCAGGCATCCACCTGCTCTGGCATGGGGTTCTCCATGGACTGCAGGTGGATCTCTTTTCCATAATGGACCCATCCACAGGTCACAGACCTTTCAGCTCAAGTTCAGACTGAAGTTCCAGCCTGTCCAGTAAAGCAGGACAGGAACAGCAGCCATACTGGTGACCTGCCATCCCTTGGAGGCACATCTGTGTGGCTGTTATCAAAGCATTCCCAGGCACAATACAGTAAGGTGATAAGCAGTACAGCACTACAGCTAGCAGCAAAAGCAAAATATGCCCACTGAAAAGCATTAGATTCAAAATACAGTCACATAAGTGAGCTCCATGGCAAGAGACAGGAGAGCTTGCTCATTACTAGCTAAACAGCACTACCAAATAGAAACTCAGTCTAGTATATCCCAGAATAATTAATTCTTGAAACTTGTTAGCTAAAATACACATTTTAAGACTAAAATCAGGAAAGCTTTGAAGCATAAAACCTGAAATTAAATTCAATCTTCTAATGGAGCAAAATATAATTATTTCCTTCCCACTTCCTATGCTAAAGTTATTAACAAAAAATAAAAATTGAAAAACCAACTCTCCAAATCCCCCAACAAACAAACACCCGCTTCATTTTTTGTACTAAACTAGAATCTTTCTTATGTGGTAAGATCTAGTTAAAACATGTACATTCAATTTCTTACCAAAATCTTCCCTTTTCCCTTAAACTGTATAGTTGGGGGATAGAGGTTTCTCTGAATTGCTATTAGTGGAGGATATGAGAAAGTACTGGTTCCATTAGAAGCAAAGGGTTTCTAGAGATTTCACAACATCATCTGTTGTTGTAGGCAAACTTCCATGTGGTTGTGGGGTAAAGGAGAAATCTGTAAGTAGGAATGGTTATATGTTTTTCTTAATTTGCAAGAATTTTTCCCTGAATTCTAATCCTTTATTTTCATAAGTTTGCTGCGAGTGCCACACATCTTGTATTAGGTGTTGAGGATGGCATTTCATTATTTTCAGAATTTGCTCTACCATCTTCAAGTTGCTGAATAAGATCCTATGTTCTCTGGCTCCCATGTTCAGATTGTTTTCCCCAGTGGTATTTTTCAATATTTTAAAAAAGACTATTTTCCTGAATGAAAAGCGGTTCACTGCCTACTACCAGCTTCCTTACAAGACATTGCATTTTGTTTAAATTTATTGACTTTAAATAAAAATGTTTTTGTTTTTGTTTTAGTAGGATTCACTGGTTTTTTCTGTCCCTTTCCCCTTTATTTTCCTTGGATTTTAAAATGTCTTTTGTTGTAGTGTGCTTTATCAAGAAGATTGTAACCTGTCCTCTGTGTACACTCTTTATACATCAATGTATAAGAAAAGTACAACAAATTTTGTTAAAGGACATTTCATATAATCTATGTTGGAGCCTGCTGACAGAAGGAAGTTGCCAGGACCAGGAGTATGGATGATTCAGAAATACTAGTCCTCTCCCTTTCTTATGAGCTGTCATTCAGTAGACTGGATAATGACATTGTTTTATTGTTTTGCTCAGTAGTGGTTAATATCTAGTGCAAATTTTAATAATTTTATTAAATTAATTAAGAAATTAATTTTAATAATTTTATTAATTTTGTTAACAGCATTAAAATGGAAGTGTGGAATAATCCACACTTAGAACTGGTTTTGCAGTCTTGTGTTGAAATTGCTGACAGGGATAAAAGATTTCTTTTAAATTGAAAGCCTTATGTTTTACAGTGCTGAATGAACACTTGCAGCTTCAAAGCACACTAAGAAAAATTTGTGTCTGTCAGGGGTAAGGTGTGACATTTAAAATTTGTGCACGGAGAAAATTCTTGATTTTGGCATCAAGAAAGCTGTTCTAAAGATAACCGGATGCTTCCCATCTGCTTCCTTGTCTCCTCTAAGAGCTCCCATCGGACTTCACCTTACAGGACAGGAGTTTGTAAAATGGTTCCATGTCACGTTTGCCTCAAACTGAGAATTTTGAAGATGCTCTGAAGACTGCCAAATTCTTGGAAACTTCTGTTTGCAGAAAATCAAGTTTGGCATTTCAAGCCAAACTGAACGGCGTACCTTACTGACAGTGTTAAGCCTGTTTCTAGCAGTTCCCCAAAGCGGTATACTTTTTTTTTTCGTGTTTTTGGGTTAAAATTGTTCCCCTACAATGCCAGCACCGCCTTTGGGTTTCTCCTCCGCAGCCCGCACTCCCGGGTACACGTGGTGGGGCGGGGGTGTTTCCTCTCGTCCCCAGCCCCGACACGGGCGCGGGCAGCGCCTCCCGCTGCCGCCCGGGGCGTGGGGCCGCTCCTCGGGCGGGGCCGGGCCGGGCCGGGGGCGGCTCCCGGCGGGGGCGGCGGGCGGTGCCTGCCCCGCGGCGGCGGCTCGGGGCGCCTCGGCCGCGTCCCTGCGGCGGCTGGCGGCGGTCGCGGGCCATGGGGGGGAAGAGCTTCCGCCTCGGCATCCCGACCCTCGCCGTCCTGCTGCTGGCCGCCGCCTCGGAGGGTGCGGAGCCGCCGCCGAGCTGCGAGGCGGTCCGGAAAGTTTTCCAGCTGCGGCGGCTCGGCCCGCTCGGCGGCGTCCCGGAGCTCCCGCGGGCAGGTGAGGCAGAGCCGGCGGGGCAGGAGGCGCCGGGAGCGGCGGGGCCGCCGGCTTGAATTCGGTGCCGCCGGCGGCGATGGGTGGGTGATGCTGGCGGCGGGGCTGGGCCCCACGGGCACATCGGGTCCCCCGCTCTGCCCCCTTACTTAAGAGAGAAGACTCCCTTCTCGAGCTGGAGCACGCCGATACCTGCCTGAAGCGCCCTTGTGCCCGCCCACTTCGACCCGTACCGCGCTTCAGCAGAGCTGCGCTTCAGCCGGGGTCACCCTGGTTCCAGCCGGCCCTGGCAGGCACAGGTACATCGGTGGCAGCGCCAACCTGGAGGCTGGGGACAGCCGCCGAACTGCGCTGGGGCTGCTGGAGTCACTGCTGGGAAACGAGAATTACTGACACTGCAAGTGCTCGGGCTGCGCATTTTCCCTGCTCGATATCTACCTGTCACTGGAATGTAATGGAATAAAATTCCCGGGAAAGGAGAGTCTTCATGGCAATTTCAGTATAGCTAGCATTTGTATCAGCGGTGATTTTTTTTTTTTTTTAAGTAGATGCTGAATGACGGTGCAAAGCTGAATGACATAGTAAGGTGTAGGTTTTTATGTTTAACGTTTTGGTTCCAGGTTTGTGAGAACCTCAGTTGAACTTAGAGGATTAAAGTGCAAGTATTTCAGTGATCAGCGATATAGGATGAGAAAACAACTTTTTTTTTTTTGCCCATCTGTAAAGTGTGTTCATTTTTGTTTGACAAGTTAACTAGTAAATGTGAGTCAGTGCTTTTTAGACAGAAAATGCAACAAAAGATGAGTTAATGTCCCCCTCACTTCAAAATATCAATAACTAACTTCATTTTTTTAAAAAGATAATTTGTGTCATTTTTATTAACTCTGCAAGTTGAGATAAGGTGTACTAGGTTTATTTTAAAGGAATCCCTCCAAAATAGAGCTTTTAATAACTCTGGCTTTAAATGTGTAATGCTTAACAGTCAATATTGGAGTGTGTAGTTTACAAATTGGAGTACTATATTTATTACCAGTATATTTTTCAACATGCATGATTGTCTTCTTGTATTGTCCTAACCTAAAGATTTTATAATTGCCTTTGATAAAAAGAAAATAAATGTTTCAATTGGAAAGCCTGATATGAGACAAGTACTGTGCAAATGGAGGTGTTTGGAAAGTGAAATCTGTGTTACAGTCCTGTCGGTGATTTAGTTTTTCTGTGCTGATTATTTGTGTGAATAATCTCGGTATGAATGATATGGTATCACTTTATCTATGTTTTTCTCATTCTGTAGCCTAGTGTAAATTTTGTGCTTTCTCTGTTATTGTTTTTGATTACCATTTATTTGTGTACTAGGGATAGGGAGGAAATATGTTGACTCAAAAGAAATGAACTATAGTACCTTATATATGTTTCTTCTTCTCTGTTCCTTCAATTTCCTCCTTTCTCCTATAATATTTTTATACCACCACTCACTTTCTTCTTTTCATTTTGACTTTTCTGCATTTCCTGCTCGTAGGAAAAGCCATGTTTGAATTGTAAGAATGTATAAAATAATTCCTTTCTCTGACACTGCCCTTGCAAGCAGTGGGCAGTAGGAGGTGTGGTACAGCCGTATGGTCAGCAGCTTTTCACTCTTTGAAGGAATTACATTGCTGTGGGCTGCCAGAGTTCTTGTTCTGAGTAGCATTGGTCTTAGATATCATTAAACAAATAATTGCAAGCAGTAAAATCTGTCCAGAAGTGCAATGACAAGAAAACGGGGATTAAACGAGTATTTTAGAAGGTTTAGGTGTGATTAAAGGTATTAGTAGGCTCAAAGTGTAATGTGAAGAGAAATGTCAGTTTTTGCTACTGATCTTCTGTATTAAGCCTTCTTCTGAGGCAGGATGTAAAAATATTTTGAAACGTTTTCTGATGACAGAAGAAATGTGTTTGTGTACATGACGCACACATGTACCTGTAAAACACATGCATTTCTTGTAGGTGTCCACTTATGAAAATAGGTGTCCGAGCTTGCTGCCTTTACAAGCTTTAATTTTGGTGCTGAAATGTGGGCATCTAGCAGCATTTTAATTTTCCTAAGGTTTCCATCATCTTCCCAATGGGGCTGAGAGATGTAATAACTCTGGGAAACTTACATCTTTCTGGTAGTGCAGTGTGCAGTGGGTGGGATATCTTTGGCATCTCAGGTGCTCCTCAGGGCAACCACAGCGGACAGCTAGTGCCGCTTGTGGAATCTTGGAGCTACTCCATTATCAAATGTTAGTGTTGGCTTCAGAATAAGCTGCATAAATACCTCTACTGCATTGCCTCTATGTCTTTATTTTAGTGGTACCTTAGACACAACTTGTTTAAGAACACTTTCATTTAAATGTCCTAAGCAGTCTCTTTGGGGTAGAGTGTGGTCAGCAGCTGAGGTACAGCAGGAATGCTGGTTGATGTATGGTTTTGTATGCAGTGGAAGTAAATAAAATTACAGGGTTTATATTTGCCTTGTTTTTGTTAAATGTATATTCTTTCCTCTTCTTGGTAGGAATAAAAACAGCAGCCTTATTTCAGTAGATCATGCAAATTCTAGTTCTGGAGATGGTCATGTGTCTGTATTTTGAATATATTTTAGCTCAAAACCCAATACATTATTTTATATAATTAGTTTTGCAGCAATTGTATAAAGATTGTGTATCTTTAAGGGAGAAAAAAAATACTTCTGTCATCCTATGCAGAAATGACATAAACACAAAGATGATCTTGAAGGATATGAAAACTATGAATTTGAGTTTGTGTTATCATCCACATAGGACAGGATATAATAGTGTTGAAAATGGAAACTAATAATCAAGATATATATATATTTTTTTTTTCCAATCCCAAGGTACTTATTGCTACCCCTAGCAATCAAGACATTTGACTAACTGTTCTCGGTCTTTTGTAAATGTGATTTGGGAGCTATAGTACAAACTTATGCTCAGTCCCATCACATGTTATATTGGAGCATTTATTGTATTCATGCTGATTTTAAGTGTTAGTTGCAAAAATACTTTGTTTTTTTCCTGTCTGGTTCTGTGCTACAAGTACATTTTTGGAGGGACTATACAGAGTAACCTCAGTAATTAATAATCCTAAAAACCACTTTTTTTGCTGTATGAAGAACTAAATAAAAAATGCTCAAAGGTTAGGTCTGGAGTTTTTTTATTTTATTTTTGTGGATCAGTATGACTTGGATTATTAAAAAAAGAAATTGTTGTCTGCAAAATACTTTTTAACATATTTTTATTTCCTATGTTCAAGGTATTTTATATCCTTTCTGGTATTGTAACCTAAGATTTCTTGAAGATTTCTACTTTTTTACCCTATATGCTAGTAAATCTAGAGCTTTTAGCTAATTTTAGCAGCTCTTTTTTTTCAGACAGATTAAATGAGCGCTCTGGGCTGTTCTTGTTATCTCTGTTGCAAATAATATTTATTTTCTGATTTCTTTTTCTCAGAATACCTAGAATAGAGAAGTTGTGGATCCTCAGTCCCTGGAAGTGTTCAAGGCCAGGCATGATGGGGCTCTGAAAAACCTCGTCTAATGAAATATGTCCCTGCCCTTCTTGGAGGGTTGGAACTGTATATTCTGTAAGGTCTTTCCAACCCAGACCATTCTATAATACAATTTTAGCAGTAGCAGAATAGGATGGCTGGTAAACCATTCACTCATGCCTACCCTCTGGTAGGTAC